CCACGAAAGAAGCTACTCACTATATATATATATATATATATATTCCGTCCAACATGTAGTCGAATTTGTTTATACAGAATTATATTAGTTTTATTGTTTAAACATTATTTTTCTGGCAATCAGCATCTTGCTCGACTGTCAACTCACTAAATTAAATATTATTTTCACTTCATTGTAGGATGAGATTTCCCAGATGAAAGCAGAGCAAGCCGAGGCGAAAGCTCAGCGTCGTGAGGCCCGCCAAGCTCTAAAGGTTCGTGCTCGTGCTAAAAAACAACGACTTGCTGACCGGAAGGCAGCTTCTGCCGGAGTGGTTGCAAATGTGCCTCTCGCACCTTCCGGCACTACTGCCGGGGGCGCTACTACTTCTGGCACCGTGATTGCGGCCACCAAATCAGCTGGGCGCTCAAGTAAGCCAAATAAGCGGACAACTGTCGTAACTCCTGCTCTTACACATACATTGACCGCCTCTTCTGGTGCAATGGATGCATCTATCCGGCCTTTCCGGATTGGTTCAGGCCTCCCCGGCAGGGTCCGTCGTCCGGCTAAATTCAGCCTCGATTATGACTACACTACAGATGGAGATGCAGACGATATTGATGGAGATACAGATGACGCTGAAGTAATGAATGAGCCAATCGGCTCATCGAAAAAACGAGCTGGAGTTGACAAAGTCACAGCTCTATCGAAGGCAAATATTGGGGACGATGAAGATGCTGAAGACGATGATGATGATGATGAAGATGGAGAAGATGAGGATGAGGATGAAGATGAAGAGGAGGAGGATGAGGATGATCATGATCATGAAGAAGTGAAGAGTCAGCCAAAACCTCCGAAGTTTAAGGCAGTTATAGATAACGTACTCCCTGGGACTGTCGATGAAAGTCTATCTACACTGACATCAGTTTGTCGACCATCTGATTCAAATGGCGTGTTTAAGACTGAGGCAAATACAGTATTGGGGTATGATGAGAGTCCTCGTTGTATTGTTAGCAGCGACCCTCGGCCTAGTGAAATATCTGCAAAAGAAGAGACTCGATCACCCCATCGGCGCCATGTCTCGCCATTGCGACTATCGCTGAAGACTCCTTCTGGTCAAGTGAGAATCTGATCTATTTTATATTCATGACTTTTATATTTGTTTTCAGGGTCCTTGGAGTTCATTTGGTCAGAGGCGTTCTATCTACCAAATAATTTGATAAATTGCGTGAGCAAACACTAGTTTTAGTTGTGAGATCTTATTGGCTAACTACGTATTAGCTAACAACTATACGACTCAATTGGGGATTTTTTATCAAAGGCTCCTTTGTTGTTTGGCAGCATGGCAAAGACAGATTCGTGAGATTGTTTTTGCTAGTGAGTAGGATGGATGAGGTAGCTAAATTTATTATGTAGTTTAAAAGACTTGATACGTTACCATTTTTGAATGCTAGAGTGAATAAGAAAGGGACTAAATTGGATAAAGTCGGGTTTAGGAAACCCATTTACGTGTGTTTCTTAACTTATTTTTAAATCATGCATATGGAGTCAAAGTACGTGCTACGTAATTAATGATATAATAGGAAAAGAGACAAAAAGTACCGGGATCGAGATTAATTTATGCTCAAAGAAATTGCTCCTTAGTATAAATAAATAACCATGGTAGTTGATTTTACAAGAATGATTTGAGTAGGCCTTGCATTTACATTGAATTTAACAAAGCATTGTTCTCATCCAGGCTAGAATGGATTGTAGTTTCGAACTCGCCTAGATCTCATCAACAACTCCAGCGGGACTCGAACCTGGCTTGTGGTAATGTAGCATATAATCTCGACACGTTAACCACTCCGCCACAATTTCACGAGTCACCTTGGGTCACAGGACTGATGTGGATTTCAAAGAAGACCAGTCCTTTTGCCATATCACATTCTGCAATTGGGTCGTCGCAAAAGCAGAGGTGTATTCATTCGCTTGCTCTAGTGTTGCCTAAGATTGTGTCGCTACAAGTGGGTCTAGTGAAGCGTAATCGTCCCCACCGGCGGTACCAGGTGCCGTTTGCAGGACTCCTGACCAACATTCCGCCCCCTCTTTTTTTCCTACCTGTCTATCATTTGGTCGCTGCTACATATAACAATCACTGTATTGCTGTCTGAAATCTGGCTGCCTAAAAGCATTCAATTGCCATCCTCGATTACGCCACATTTAAGGATTTAGAGCAGATGATGCCTATGTCAGTGCCTGTGAATCTTCCTCTGTCTAGACTTCGAACCCGTGACTCAGTTATCCTCTGCCTCATCCCCACTCACATGGTGTCTATCCATTAGAACCCTGTGTCCGGCTTAAGTCATAACCGCCAGCGTGAAAATGCACCGCTTCCCTTTTTTCCTCTGAATCACGAAAAACACCTTTCCCTTCTCAAGTTGACATTCCTATCTATGTGCTAGCTGGTATCCCTTGTAGTCAAGCCTGTTACCAGTCGCCTTCCCTTCAAGCACAGACGAAAAATACACACTCTGGTGACCTATGTCTGGCCCATCTATGCCTTTAGCCTTTACTTTCATATCCTACGTCTCACAGGTAGATCCCCCTGTGTAAACTTTTAGCCTCCTCTCATTGCAGTTGCCTTTTCTCGACTTCCTTTTGTTCCTCATTAGCCTCTCCTTGGTGATGTCTCTTCCCGTTGTTAAACAGTTGTCCTGAGTCCAAACGTCTTTTTTTGATGTCTTCGCCGAATCTCCAAGTCTGCCTATGCAGTACGGGAAATTATCGCTGACTCTTCCCTCTTCCAATCTCCTGTTATCAGGTTTCTTTGGAAGAGGATGGCCACAGCTTCTGATCTTTCGTTTCGTGGTGTTTTTCCCATAGTAAGCCAGTCTTTCCGTTGCATTCCAGTCAATTGGGTGGCTGGAAAGGGTGATGTGTTCAGCCATCTCCAATCTTTCTGTATCTGTTTTTCTGCATAGTCGCTGGTGTTCTTTGATCTATGTGCTGATTGTCCTTCCCGTCTGTCCGATGTATATTTTGAAAGGTCAACACTTTATTTATGCCTTGCTTTCTAGAATTCTCTGACTTTCTGTCAGTACTCGTGTGGACATTTTTTGACCGACCTAAAAACCCACATACTAAGCGTTATGAGTCAAAAAATATAAACTAATTAAACACTTTAACTACACATGATGTCAAATACAGTTGTCTCAAATACGTCCCTCATTATATAAGGACTTCAAGTCGGAGCGTAAGATTGGGAATCTAAGACGATAAACAAAATAGGTTATATGAGTGTGGAGAATTGAGTGGGAACTATCTATATGCAGAATAAACTTAGGAAAAGAGGGTTGGAAGAATCTTAGAGCAACTGGAATATAGATTGGGTCGACATTGGTCAGCCAACCATATCATAGTATGCCTTATTAAGCGGCATTAGATATAAGAACTAAACATGACTGTCGCCGGACATCTCTTAGTATATTTGCGCGTTTTTATCTAAATGATTATCTTTGCTCATACGATTTTTATTACAAGATATTCAAACACTCATCTTGAATTCATCGGTTTTTCAACGGTGGTTGCCAAGTACTTTATCATACAATCCAATAGTCTCTACTTCAAGGCATTCCTTCCGTACTAGATGAAACCGGTTCACGAATTACTTGTAATATTTTTTTTTCAAAATTAAAAGTTGAGTCATATTAAGCTGCTCTTTAGACCATGCTGAGCACGCTCAGCCGAATCCTCTACGCTACATCAGCCACATCTTTGCGAACAGAGATCTTTCAAGAAACTTTATTTAACTCAAATAGGGTCGACTGAAATTATGAGGCCTAACCATCGCTTATCTATTTCTACTATTCCTATGTTCTGGCTAAAATATGCTACGCGTAGCTGCCTATAGCTCTTCTGCATTTGCTTCACCAGTTCTCAGCAAAAGATACTGTTGGAGCGAGAAAAATCAGGGCCTGTGTAAATAAGTATTTCGACGGGCTTTTTCAAAAACGAATTACACCTATACCTTAATTTTAATAAATTCATTTAGCTGATTTATAATTTTTCCCGTCCATTCCGGATCTATCATTCATTGGCACAAACATATTTTAATTATTGGCTTTACAACAGTCAATTTTTGCTCCCATGTCTTGTTCTCGTCAAAAACTAAAACAGCTGCCACTACACTCTAACAATGCTTTTTCCTTAGTATGGACTTCCTGTTTATGTAATAACTAATCGAATTTACAATAATTGTTTACCTTAGATATTCTATAATATGGTGATAGCAAAGTGGAGGATCTCCCGTTTTATTAACTATATTCCGTACTCTTTTCTTAAACTGTCTGTTCAACACCTATACACTTTAGTCTCTTTCTAAGTCTGTGGCTCGAGCTCGTCGTACTCCACTCTCTAATCGACTCGCCAGGTCCGCTAGCGTTAGTTCATCGAAGTCCAGTTTGCGGATCAAGCTGCGGCCAGTGAATTCTCCATTATCAACACCAGTGGATTCGGATTCCTCGTCAGCCTCAGCCTCACCGTCGACGTCAAGTCGACTCTCAAATGCATCGACAGCCTCCACAGTGCCTGCCATCTGGAGCCGTGAAACCAGTCCAGTCGACATGCCCGATAAGATAGTTGGTGATTTTGAAGACACGAAACCTAATTCGGTTTTATCTAATCGACAACCCAGTCAAGCTAATGCAATGAAACATCAGGGTAATTCACGGCTTACTCGAGGACTAGGTCACGGAACTAATCAAACTTCGGCAGGAAGCCGCCTCTATGGAAAATCCAACAAATTTGTTTCTACATCACCTAGTTCTCCAAAGACATTCAATTCAGCAACACCTAGAAGGGTAAGTGTCCATTTTTCATGATATTTTTATTTTGTTACCAATACTACTTTCTAAAGTAGCGTATATTACTTTTTTGAAACATTTTTGAGCCATGATTCAGGTTTTATTCAGATTTATTCTAGCGTACCTTTCATTTCGTTTGAGAAGGCGGGTCGAAGGGATTCGCTGATTGGCCTCACCGGATATCGCATAAGGGTTACCGTCTTGCGACCCCGATGACTCCGTGCTGAGCTTTCGTCCGTCCTGTGACGGACATCATCAGAGCGAGAAACCATTATTCACTAAAAATCACCAACAAACACTGAAACTGTCTTGCTTCGTGAATGCGTGCTTGTTGAGAACAATTATCATGTAGGATTAATTGTTAACCATTTCAAAATATTGATAAATAGGGT